GCACTGGGGTAATGGGACAGTCCCTGTGTAACTCAGCCCTGGGCTGCGTACATGGAACTCACTTGGATTATCTGGAGGTGCTGGAGGACAGGAGGATTCCTGTGGAAAAATGGGAGGAACAAAATAGGACTGTCAGGTGCTGATTTCTACTACTGTAGGCATCAGGACAGGGATGGGACTGGCTGGCTCAAATCCTGCAAACCCCACACACCTCAGCAGGGCAGGCTGTGGGGCCTGGGCAGGGAGGGTGTGTTGATGGGTCACTTCACTCTGCACTTGTTTGCATAGGCTGGGGAGAAGGGAACCCTCCCAACACCCCCATAACCTCTCTCATTGCTCCTTTCCCCCACAGAAGCACCTCCATCCTACGAGCAGAGCTGCAGCAGTGCCAACTCCAGCGTCAGCAATGGCAACTAGCCCTGCCCTGCTCCGAGCCCCGCCGGCGCTGCCCGCCCTGGCACCACGGGGCACCCGCCTGTGGCAAAGTCTGGTACAGCACAAGGCGTCTTCTTGTCTCTCTGGCTGCTTTGGGGGGGAACCGGCACATCCCGGCCTGGGCTTTTTGAATCTCTTTCTAGGGAGGGGGTAAAAAACCAAAAAGGGCAGCCAGAGCAGTCTGCATGCGTGTAGGAGAGGTCTGGGGAGCTGAAGTGTCTCCTGCTGCTGCACCAAGTGCTGGAGGGCTGGCTTTGCCCCCGGGTGCCCCGGGCAGCAGCCRCTCCCAGTGCTGCAGCCAACACTAACTGCTTTACTATCCAAGCACCTGCGATGCCTTATCTGAAACGCTCCTGACTCGCACGGCTCTGCTGTCACTCAGGGCTGGCCTGCGTGGACTTTCTCTCCTCTTTTAGGGGTCATGTGCTCTCTACCAATGGCTTTGACAGCCCTTCCTCCTTGTCCTCAGAGGTCCTAAGGGCAGCAGGAGGTTTCTTGGAGTGAGCAGGTTGGGAAGGTCAGGGACTTTTAAAAAGCCAAAAGCACAAGCCCTTGCTGTACCTGAGCTGTGGGGGGAGTGGCTGGCAGTGTGAGTGTGGCATGGGGGGCTTGTGGGGGCACYTGCTGATCAGCCCTGGTGAGCTGTGGGTCAGAGCCTGCTGCTCCATGGAGTGCCCTTTCCCAGCACGGGTGGCTTTTCTCTGCAGAGCCCTGTGAGACACAGCCCAGGGTGACAGCAGCGGTCACTCTGCCAGCCAGGGCACCACATCCATGTCCCATCCCCTGCCCTGCAGGGAGCCCTGTCCTCCCAGACCACAGCTCCATGACCATCAATCACAAAACTCTGTCTGTGCTACCTCTGAGTCTACCCAGGGGCCCTGCCTGTGGGATCCCTTCCCCTGGGACTGCCCTTGGTGGGCTCAGCCTGGGCTGTCCCCAGGAGGGGCTGTCACTGCCAAGGCAGCACCCCAGCGTGCTGGGCATGGGSCTGTTGTGCCCTGGTGGGCTGGGTGTCCCCTGAGCCTCAGCAGAATGTGACAGTGAACACAAAGTGTGTGGGAACACAAACAGCTGCGCCTCGCTCGCAGCCCCCGCTGCGCCAGGCGGGGGAACAAGCTGGGATTCCTTGCAATTTTTCTTTTGTGCTTTTTTCCCTCCTGCTTGTTTAGCATTGACTGCCCAAGGTGAGGAAACCACAAGCCACATCCTCCAGAGCCACAGGCACCCAGCCAGGCTGGAATTGTGGCCTCCAGACCTTTGAGTTGGTCCCCACATGGCCTCGGGCTCGGCGGGCAGTATCTGACAGACCTTTAGGRGCATTTCCAGCCGCTGCCTCCTCGCTCAGCCACCTCTGCACACCCCTCAGGCAGCTGGGACAGGCCCTGCTTTGCACTCTTTCTTTGCAAATGCTTTTTTTTTTTTTATTTTGTTTTTATTTTTTTTTAAAGCATTGAACTGCTTTAAGGGTAGCGTAGCGAAGGTGCCGTTCCGAGCAGTGCTGGCACAACATGCACCGATGCTGATAGAGTGATTGTCATTGTCCCTGACTATATATAAATATATATATATATGAGATGAAGTTTTGTTTTTAATGATTGAATTCAGAAATACAAATTTTAATGCTGTATTTAATAAATTATTCTAAGAGAAATGCCGTGCTTTTTCATCCATTTCTGATTCTGATCCATATTCATGCCAAATCCAGGAATGCACCTTTGCTGATTTCTTAAAAGTGAAGTGAGGTTTTTTGCTCTCACCAGGAAGGGTGGTGAACTCTGCTGAGGCAGCTCAAGGGAAACCAACATGACATGGCTTGACCACAGTGCCAGGCTCATAATTCCACCTGGCTGGAGGGAWTTTGGYRSCATGTGGGCATGGCTCTGGAGRGAGCAGCCACTGCACTGCTGCTCCYCAGGCCMTGTGTCCAAAGCCAGGATTTGTCCAAGTGCCCTGGGAGAGCTGGGCAGCTCTTGCTGCTGACAGGGCTGGGCTGGTGGGGAGGAAAGGGAGAGCAGACTCTGCCTTTAGGAGGGTGGACATGGCACAGCCAAGCTCTGGCTGGACAGGCTGGACACCACCAGCCCCAGCCCTCTCCTAAACAGCCATTTGGAATAAACTCATGAAAAGTGGAAGGAGGCTGCTCCCACACCCTGCTGTGCTGATCCCATGTCTGAGGCATGCAGGTGTCCCTGCAGGTGGCCTGGGTGTGATCTGTGTCCCAGACACAAGGATCCTGCTTCGCTCTCTGCTCAGCTTCTGCTTCTGCCCAGCTTCCATGATTTCAGACTCTGCTTTGCCTGGTGYTCCAACCTGCCATGAGCTGCATTCTTCATCCACAGGGGGTCAAAGGCGGGCACAGCTCTTTCCCAGTGTTCTCCCTCTCCCTCTTCCTCCCCCTCGGCTGAGGCTGCTTTGCCAGCCTCAGTCTGCAGCTCCTGTGGCCATCCTTGCTTTGGCTGTACATATCCCTCAGTCCARTTCCACACCTCTGGAAAGATTCCTATGAACTGTCCGTGCTCCTGGACCTGCTGGGCTGCAGGCTCCTGCCSCAGCCAGGCTCTGGGACAGGAGACAGGGCTGGCACCAGGATTGATCTCCCAGCTCCTCCTCCSTCCCTGGAGCTGAGCTGCTGCTGCTGTGTCCAGCCTGTGTTCCTTGGCTGCAAAATGGCATTGCTGTTGGGTTGCTGTGGCCAGAGCCTCTGTCCTCCTCATGTCACMTTTGCTTTGGGAATGTCCCTTCCCAAATGTGATGGAGGCTGTGGAGGAGGGAGCCCAGCCCGGCTGTGCCTCCCCCAGCCCCTGTGCCATGCCCTGTGTCTCTGCAGTGCTCTTGTGAGGTCCACCTGCTCTCCCAAATTGTATTTGCTACAAACTGGTCCTTGGGACCTCTTGCTGTTCACAGCAAGAGAGGAAATGGGAACTTTTCACTGGGGAGGAGCCCAGTGGCTGCTGTGGAGGGAGCAGGGAGGAGCTGGAGCTACACTTAGGGTGGGCTTCATCCTTCTGGGTGCCAGGGCTGCCCCACAGCCCATCTGCCCTACAGGAGCCCCTCTCAGTGCTGGGAGGTGGCTCTGGCCAGGCTGCAGCAGGTCCTTACCTGGGCAGTGKCTTTGCTGTGCAAGAGAATTGACATTACAATGACAATCAGTGTTTTCCAGCCCTGGTGCCCTGCCTTGTCCTCCCAGGCTGCCCAGGGTAGTGAAGCCTGGCACGAAGAACCTGGTTGGTGTTTGATGGAGCCCTTAGAAATGAGCCAGGACTGCAGGATGGAGGGGTTAGGCCAGCTCTCCTTGAACCCCCTGCAGGTGTGGCCCCAGGRCAAGTCCTTGGGGTGTAAGAGGGCTTTGGATGAGCTCAGTGGGACAACTCCAGTGTTTAGGATTGGGATTGGGGTTGAATTTGTTTACTCACCCACTCCAGAGAGGATCAATCCCTCTGTTCTCAGTCCACAGCCTCTCTGGCTTCTACCTCTTGAAGTCCTGGGGAGCTCCTTTAGGCCCTTGGTCATCCATCTCTCTTGCTAAACACTGGAATAAAGACAAAAAAAGTCCATTTTTTCCTAACCTAGCTCTGGGTAAAAAACTTCAGCACACAGGAATTCATTCAAATTCCTGGCTTAGATTTTTGAGTTTGTTTGAAATGGGGAGGGGGAGCAGTGGGGCACAAGAGAAGCTTGTGAGTTGTTTCCAAACTCAGTGTTCAATGGAAAACACCAAAAATATCATCATTTCTTGTTTGTTTTGTTTGGTTTTTTTTTCCTGCTGCTTTTATGTCCTTCATGGTTTTGCCCTTGTCCTGCTCTCCACATGTTCCACCTCTGTATCTTTGTTTTTTTCAGTGTTGTTTGTGTCCCACTAAACTCTGCTTTGGCATCTGCTGTCCCGCTGCCTGCAGGAGTTGGGGAAAGGGGAGTCAGGGGATGCAAAGGCTCTTCTTTCTTTCTCTTGGACAATGATTCTTTTTTTAGCTTTCCACTGAACTTCCAGGAGTTTTGTAAAAATAAATATTTTCTGCYAGGACGTTTTCCTGTTGAGCCAGCACAAGACAGGAGATACAGGGTGTTCTAGGCTCCRTTTGGGTTTTTGTCTATATTTTAAAATATTTCCAACTATCCACAACAGGAACGTCCCATCCCTCCTCCCCAAGAGACACTGGTGGGGCAAAACCCTCTGAAGTTGTGCCCTTTTTTGTCCCACTACTCATGGCTGTAATTCTTTATTCCTGTGGTTCTCTTTATGGATTTTTTGGGTTTTATACAACAATTTGTGATGGCTCTGTACAACCTAAGACTTCTGTGCAATTTATAACTGGGTTTTCAAATGTAAACTCACAATGTTTACCACGGCTTCTGGGGAGTATTTTTGTCCTGGGTTTTAACCTCCCAAATGTAAAGAACTGGAAAAATGTAAATAAAGATGATCTTTTTTAAGACCATGGGTGTTTTGCTCGGGGTGTGGGATGATCATAAATGATATCTCAGCTGTCTGAACGCTGAGATCTGATGTTTAAAGTGTTTCAGGGCTGTCAGTGGAGGTATCCACGCTGGAACCAGAGCCTGGAGGTTGGTTTAGAGCCGAGGCTAAAGGAAAGCCATGGCTGCTCCAGCTCAGCAGGGSAATGGCCGGAGTGGGGAGACCCACCCAGCCTGTGGTGGTGAATCAGAATCACGGAATATCCTGAGCTGGGAGGGACCCACAAGGATCATCGAGTCCAGTTCCTGTCCCTGCCCAGACCCCCCAACAGCCCCACCCTGTCCATCCCTGGCAGCGCTGTCCAAACGCTCCTGGAGCTCTGGCAGCCTCGGGGCCGGGACCATTCCCTGGGGAGCCTGGGCAGTGCCAGCACCCTCTGGGGACACAAGAACCTTTCCCTGCTCTCCAGCCYAAACTSCCCCGACACAGCTGAYGGGAAGCTCCGTGGGCAGGTGCGGCTGGAAGGACGCTGCTGCGGCCGGAGGAAGCGCCGGGGCGGTCGRGTTGTGCTCTTCCTGCTGGCAGGAATCCCAGGATGTGGAGCTGCGGCTCCGCTCGCCCGGCTCGGGCGGGAGAGGGCGATGTCCGCCCGGCTGGAGCTCTGCGCGGCCCTGGAGAGGCTGCGAGGCGGCTCCGGCTGCCCCCGAGCCCCGAGCCCTGCCCCGGCTCACAGCAGCTGCTCCAGGAAAACGGGGAGTTCTGGCCCAGCACATCCCGTCCTCGCCCCGCTGGCGCTCGCTCAGGAGGGGAAGCGATGGGTTTGAGGTGGGCAAGAGCCGTGCCCGGTGGTGATGGGCTGCACAGGCTCTGTGTGTTCCCGGTTATTTCTGCTGCTTTTGGGAGCCGCTCCCTGCCCCGATGGTTTGGGGACCTTTGTCCCTGTGGCTGCTGTGTCCCTGTGTCCATCTGAGAAAGACAGAGCGGCAGAAAATGCTGGACAGGAGCCACCAGAGCCCCTCCCGGTGCGCGTCCAGCCTTACCGCCCTCCTCCCTGTGCCGCTGCCACCCCGGGGTGCTGGGTCTGGTTTGCCGGAGCAGGGATGAAGGCAGGCAATTCCCTACATCCACTTGGAGCATCCCGAGCGCGGGATGGGGCGATGCTGAGCATCCCGAGCGCGGGATGTTGGCGGTGTCCAGGCTGACACCGGCCCGTGCTGGGGCAGAGCGTTCCCAGAGGTGGCTCTTTGCGCGGGGAGCGGTCACTGCTCCATCCCGGGGCCATCCCATGGGGACACCCACCCTGCCGCCGCCTGCTCAGCTCATCCCCCCCAGCCCCGGAGGGACGAGACTCCGGGGCCCCTCTGTGTCCGCAGCGGAGGGGCCGCGCCGGGGGCTCCGCGGGGACTCTGCCAAGGCCCCGCCGGCGCTGCCGGTGCGCRGGTGGTTCTCTGGGGGGGTTGGTTYATTAATTAATTAATTAATTAATTAGCCACTGCTGCCAAACTGAGGGAGAAGCTGCTCGGAGGGGATGGAGCGGGCGGGGGGCGGGTCCCCAGGCCCGGGGACTCTTATTTTGACCGCGGCGCTGCCGGGCGGGCGCTGCCGCCGCTCTCGGGCCGCGCTCCGGGGCCGGCGCCTCCTTCCCCTGCCGGGCTGGCAGCGGCCGGAGCAGCCCCGGAGCCGCTCGCCGCGTCCTGGGGCTCGCCCGAGGCTCTGAGCGGCTTTGGGAGCCTCCTGGGGGCTCCCTCACACACTGTCTCCCCACCGGGTGCCTCCTCTCCCCGGCACCCGCGGGGTCGTGGCGTCCCGGTGGGAGCGGCCCGGGTGACCGGGAGGGACACGCAGCCCGTGCTGGCTCCCCTGGGGATGCTCCGGTAGAGCTGCGGCGCTTTGCTGTCACAGCTTGTCCCAAAGCCCGAGCCATCCCAGTCTGTGCGAGCAGAGGGGGCACCGCCGCTGCGGCAGCACAACTCCCCCGTGTCTGTCAATGCATCGCGACAGCGACAGCGACAGCTCYGGGGCTGGCACAGCTGAGCCAGGAGGAGCAAGGGCTGGAGGTGCGGGATGGGAGCGGGGTGACCCCGCTGTGTCCCGGCACTGTCCAAGGGCTCTCCATGGCCGCTGCTCCCGGCTCGRAGCGCTGGAGGGTGAGAGGTTCCCGCAGAGCAAAATGAGAATGTCCTCAGTGGGAAGGGACCCCCAGGATCACCCAGCCCAGCCCCTGTCCCTGYCCAGACCCCCCAACAGCCCCACCCTGTCCATCCCTGGCAGCGCTGTCCAAACGCTCCTGGAGCTCTGGCAGCCTCGGGGCCGGGACCATTCCCTGGGGAGCCTGGGCAGTGCCAGCACCCTCTGGGGACACAAGAACCTTTCCCTGCTCTCCAGCCTGAGCCTGCCCTGGCCCAGCTCCAGCCGTTCCCTGGCTCCTGTCCCTGTCCCAGA